TCTCAATTTGTTCAAACTTTGGCCATTTTTCCAGCTTTCAGTTGGTTCTTGTTCTTCTTTGACATGATCTGTTACATAGCTATTAGTACGTTCCCCTAGATAGGTCTGAAGTAGACTTTATGTGGAAATATATACAAATGTTTTCTCATCTTCATTTTCCAACATACTTTTCTTTTAAATCTATTAGCTTACTAAATGATGATGTTTGAAGATCTTATAACAATTATATTTATCTAACTTGATTTTTATCTATGGGAATGCAAAAAGTGTAAAAAACCCTTTCTTCCCTCACTGGGAGTTGGGTTCTTTGACCCTTAAGTAATCCTTTGGAGAATTCCTGATTGCTCCATCTGTAAATCTTGTGGGAACAAACAGCCTGGTATTTACCGTATTACATTAAAAATTTCCCTATCTGTTGTCTGCGATCTCTGCAAATTCAGCTGATGGTTACTAACTTGGGGCAATTGCTGAATGCTGTTATTTCTTTTTAAGTGAGTAATGGAGAAATTACTGCTTTTCAAGCTTTCTTTTGTTATTGCAGGGTTAATACAGTCTTAAGCAATTTTTGTTTGTTATATTTCTACCACAAACCAAAAGTAAAACATTTTCATCTTATCTTCTGAAGTTTTGAAACCTAGCCTGGATGGCAAAAGAGAGGTATTATAGTAAGAAATTATTATCTGCTGATTTGCCAAAATCTTGGTAATAAAGGAGTTTGCTTAGGTAACTTTAACCTATGCATCCATATCTTGGTACATTTCTAGAAAACACACAAACAGCAATTATGAAAGTTACTTGATGTTGTATGTTATGCATATGATGTATTATGTATTATGGTATTTTACAACTAATACAGTTTTAAGGTGAGCACTTTATTATTATCTCTCTGTACCTTTTTATTTTGTATGTGTGTGTGTGTATTTACATTTGTGCTTCTACTCGGTAAAATTAGATCTGTTGTATTCCACATAAACAGATTAAATTTATGGAGTAATAGGGGCATCTGCCTTTGGCTCAGGTCATGATCCCGGGGTCCTGGGATTGACCCCCGCATCAGGCTCCCTGCTGGGGGTGAAGCCTGCTTCTCCCTCTCTCACTCCCCCTGCTTCTGTTCCCTCTCTTGTTGTGTCTCTCTCTGTCAAATAAATAAAATCTTAAAAAAGAAAGTTATGGGGTAATAGATTGCATGTTCAGGTTTGTGTGTAAGTCTGTGTCTATACAAATAAAACCCATGTCTACATACATAAATTTACTGATATCACTTATGTAAAATAAAGCAAAAATTTTCAGTTCATCAAATTGTTTGGCTTTTCCTTTTCTCTCACTCTTACTCTCTCATACTCTTTCTCTTATTCTTTCACATTGTTCCTTTTTGGCTTGTTTGCATGATACCTAATCTCTAGTTTGATCTGACGTGGGGCTTGATTCTAGGACTCTGAGATCATGACCTGAGGTAAAAGGCACTTTACCGACTGAGCTACCCAGGCACCCCTTGATGAAACACTTTGCTGTCCTATAACAATGACAGCATAGATGAGAAAGTCCTTTAGGAGTCTTTCCTTTTAGGAGAAAATCCTTTAGCACATTTTAAAGTTGATAAAGATGAAATTAGGAAGGAGATTCTTTGAGAAGTAGTGATTGTTAAGATTTATCAGATTGGTGCAGATGTCTTCACCTGGCTTTCAATGTTGGACACTGATTATATTAACAATATGTACTCAACACAGTAAGAGGTTTTGTATAAAATTGGAAGTTTTTTTATGATTCAGATTATCTACTTATTTATCAAAATCTTGAGAATAAAAGATTCGGCTTAGGTAACTTTAACCTATGAATCTATTTCTTGATGCATTTTTAGCAAAAACAAAAACAGCAGTTATGAAAATTAGCAAATTCTGCTTATTGAATGTATCACGTATGTATTTTATGATTAATGCATTTTAAGGTGAACACTTCATTATTGTCTCTAATAAAAATAATAATACAAATAACATTAAAAATCCCCCAAGATCAGACTTTTGAGGGTTTTTTTTTTTTTAATGGTTTCTCACTTCCTTTTGGGAGGAGCCACAGGAAGAACAGCCTATAAGGTTCACAACTTAAAATGAGGGTAATTGGAATCTACTAGAAGTTTTCAATGCCAAATCTAAGCCCTTTTGAGATTCCATAGTCCATTAAACATAGCTTGATCTGTTGGTGTTTGTTCTGCTTCATGCTAAACTCCAGCCACACTGAATTATTTCACTTCTCAATTTGTGTCATGCTCTTGCCTACAAATTACTTCTCCCCTGATGTCTAGACTACCCTTCCCCATGTATCCTTCTTCCCTTTGTGTGGCTAACTCCTACTCACCATTCAGACTCTAGTTTAAATTTGTTCAGTGAAGCCTAGTCTGGTTAGGTTAGATAATTCTTTGCTATCTGCTTCTGAAAAATCCTGTATCTTTCGTATGAACGTTTTGTTAAAATTACTTATCTGCTATCTGTTCTATTCATTGTGTATGAAATCCACACGATGAGAGACTTTAAATGGTGGTAAGGCAAGGGAGTTTGAATCTTCAGAGGAGAATGTGGAAATGAAACTTGGGCAGAACTCTGAGGAAGAAGAGGACCTTTAATAGGGTCTGAGAAGAAATATAGACAGGGAGAAGTCACCTCGAGAGGGAAACATTTTTAGGAATGGTGAGTACTGGGTTGAATTTCCAGTTGGTTCCTGCTTATGTATTACTCATAAATCTTTCATTAATGCTATTATGCTGCACACTTTTGTGGGGAAGTATATTGGGAATTAGAAGAGAGATGGAATGGGTTTTGTGTTCCACATCACAGATAATGTCGACACAAGGAAAGAATGGCAGCTGCAGGTACCCAAATAGTTGTAAGGAGCTAAATGACACAGGAAAAACAGGTTGCAGTGTGAACCAGTAAGTGAGAAAATAGGAGAGAACTTCCTCACTCAACACTGTGGAGCTTTAAAAGAAAGTCGACTTAAAATACCCAAAAACAATAGTAAATGAGTTGGGAGGTAGATAAGTGTGAATCAAAGTTCTAAGATTCATCTTTTTTTACTTGAAATGTAAAGTTAGGCATTGGTAAGTTGAATTTCATGCAATTATGGATTATTATTTTTCATCATGTGGTAAGTTTTCAGTCATTGTCACTTCAAATGTCTCTGACACTTTCCTCTCTCCTCCTCCTCTAAAAATCCAACTAGACATTAATAAGACCTTATCCCCAAATCCTTCTTATCTTTTCATTACTTTTTCCTATTTACTACCTCTTTATCTCTCTGCTGTGAATTCCAGATACAGTTCTTTGGTTTTAGTTCCCGGATCTCTGATTCTCTTTTCAGTTGTGTCTACTCTGTTATAAAATTCCTCCATTGAGTATTTTAGTCAAACTACTGTACTTTTAGAGTTTTGTTTGACTTTTTTACAAATATGCTTGGTCTTTAATCATATTCAAACTTCCTTCTCTCATATGTGTCAGTTTTACTCCTCAATGATCTGAGAAGTGCCTTGTAAGGAGTATCCACTTCCCTCTTCCACTGAGTGCTCAGCTGTGCTAAGCTGTACAAACACCTGGTTGGTTAATTAGAAATCTGAAGTTAGCCTTATTGGCAAAATGGAATGCAATGGGGAGTTGAGAAAATTTCCATCATTCTCTGGAAGGGACTACAGTTTGTAACCCATCTCTGGAAAAGATATCTGTTTTTCTAGAGTTTTGTAATTTTACATACAATATACAAAATGTAAGGGGAAGCATTTATGTTTATTTGTTTGTTTGTTAGATTTATTTATTTATTTTGAGAGAGAGAGAATGGGGGAGGGATAAAGGCAGACAGAGAAAGAGAATCTCAAGCAGACTCCATGTGGAGTGTAGAGACCTACACAGGGTTTGATCTCATGATCCTGCGATCATGACCTGAGCTGAACTCAAGATTCAGACCCGTAACTGATTGAGCCACCCAGGACACCAAGCATTTATATTTTTTAACTCAAAATATTATTTTTAATGTAGAAATAGGTAAAATGATAACTTTTAAAACTGCCAAAGAAAGAGAACCACCTGATGACTTTGACAATAAGTTTTATTTTAAATATTTTATGATTACATTTATATTTCCATATATCAAAAATAGTAGGAAAAAATCTCTTTGGGAACACATCAAAGCATTTTAAAGTAGAAAAATAAAGTCAGTGTTTAAAAACACAATAATTTAAGTAAAATTATTTAGAATCCATTTATAAATAATAAATAGGTTTTATATAGTGAGAAATTACTTTGTTAATATTGCCTGTTGAATTTTTGCTGTTTTGAGAAACAATTCTAACTCAGAGTACTGATGATTCAACACAGCACATTATAACAAGGCTGCCCATGACAAGATAAGACTGGGAATATCAAAAGTAGGATTGCTATTTCAACGAAAATTTCAGATAAATAATGAAATACTAAAAAATTATTTTCTGAATTCAAAACAAATTGGGTGTCTTGTTTGTTTTTAATTTTGCTAAATCTGGCAACCTTGTTCAGAATAGTTCTCTAATAAAATATCATTTAGTATTAAAATAAATATAAATTCACTACCATCATTCTACTAGTTTATCAACAATGCTTCCTTTCCCATTTTTCCAAATTTATGCACAGATATTCTTATATTTATTTCTTAAATAAATATATAAATAATAAATAAGCAAACAAGTTTCACTTGAACATAATTCAGACAACATGAGAAAAAGTTAAAGTGCTTCCACATGTCCTCACACTTCTGTGAGTTAGGATGGTGGCTGACACTTTTTCTCCAGTTGAGGAATAAAGAAGAAACCAAGGCAAAGTTTAACAGGGACTGGTGTATCCTGACCAGCAGGCTGGGGTGGAAAGTTGTAGCAACAACAAAATATTTCCAGGATTTCCAGCTAAATTTGAATTTACAGTAAACAATGAATAATATTTTTAACATAAGTATGCCTAGATATTGCATAAGACAATATATATGAGACATCAAAAAAAAAAAAACCCTATTCATTGTTTTACTTAATATTCAAATCTAACTGGGCATACTGTATTTTATCTGACAACCCTACACCAGACCCACATGGAACATGAAGTGCTGAAGTAGATTTATATGACGTCTCATTGACATCTTTACTGAGGAATTCTTGGAAACCACAGAGAATGCTTGTTTGTTTCACGATTCCTGTTTCTCAGCCCTGAAAATAAATAAAATGGGAAAAAATTAATTAATAGTGTTCTAATAAGGAGGAAAGTATCATTTTTGAAAATATATTTATTAGGAAATTAATAGTCTTAGATATTCATGTATTAGAAATATCCTAATTTTCAACTATGAGTAGAGAGACAGGTAAGTTATCATCCAAACTAGGAAACTTCTGAGAATGAAAGGGAACCAGTTCCCTAGACAAACTGAGATGTGTGGTCTTCCCAGGCATGAGTACAACAAATTCACTATTTCTATGGGGTTTTTTGTTTGTTTGTTTTGTTTTGTTTTGTTTTTAATCAAAGACTCAGATCCCCAAGAAAGTAGACTTCCAGCAGCAACAGAAAATTTATAGGCTAACTTTTAGACAGTATGTCTCAGGGTAAATGAAGAATTAACAAAAAAAAAAAAAACCAAAAAAAAAAACAACCCACAACTTACCTCTTCAAAAATATCTGCACAATTCTCTGTACCCAGCTTTCCTTGGGGTCCAGGCACACCTCTTTTCCATTCACAAGCTTTACACTGAAATGAGAGAGATATGATTAAATCAGTACTTAGAAGATTTTAGACATTCCTTTGCCCTTCAAGTTGTGGTTCCTAAAGTATGAGCATAAAATCTGAGTCCAACTCATTTTTAGTTACAAGACATATTTAAATGTCATGGAGACAAAGAATTTTTTTTTTTTTTGTTCTGCCCACTACTGTATTCCTGAACCTAGAACTTTGCTGGATACTTCCACCTTCCCCAATTTTAGGTTTGCTGAAGTAACATATCTAATCACTTTTGAAAGTACTTACATGATTTCTGAGTTTTCACAATGTGGACCACTGTCAATCACTCTCAGTTCTTTGATATATTTGGGATGGAAAGGCGTGGAGTGGGTTTTAATGCACTGGCATCGGAGTTCTGAACTCACTCTTGACAAAACTGCAGCTGTGGAAAAATAATAAAAACAAGGATTAATTTCATCCCAAACATGGATCTGCTGGCTACTCTCTCCTTAATTCCAATCTGATAATTTGGTGACAGTATGTTTGGTAAACAGCACTTCTTAAGTAAACTCATTCATAAAGGAGAAGGCTGAAATATTCTTCTAGCCCCTAAGTTCAATTAAGAAAACCACAGCTATCATTAATGACAGGATTGGTGGACTTCCTGCATAAAGACTTGGAGTTGTCTTTGTGAAATGCTGACATCCTTATGGTACTTTTTCTTCTAGTTGATTGTGTAATCTTCCATGATACCACAATGCTACTTATAGTATGTAAACTAAGATTCAACAACAGAGACGTTGCCTTCAGAAAGCATTAATAGAAATATATAAGTTGCACAAAGATGTCTCTTAGCAAAATCTGTAATGCTTAATGGAAAAGAAAAGAAGTATAAAAACAAACATTTCTAACTGTATTTCTTTCAAGGGAGAGATCCCAGGAAGTTTTACAATTTGTCAGGTTGTCTTTAAATCAAAGAGGAAAGCTTGTCAATAAAACAACATGTGGAATAAAGTTATGGAGTTACCTCACTTGATATTAATAAATAATATGGGTAATTGTGGTCTCTAGTAAGATATATTCCAGGGGTATCTGGATGTCCCAGTTGGTTAAGCATCTGACTCTTGGTTTTGGCTCAGGCCATAATCTCAGGGTCATGAGATCAAGCTCCGCATCTGACTCCTCACTCAGCGTGGAGTCTGCTTGAGATTCTCTCTCTCTCTCTCTCTCTCTCTCTCTCTGCCTCTCCCCTATGCTCTAAATTACAGATTTATATTAATGCGTTTATATGTATGCATCCTATAAAGTATGAAAAATAGGAACAAGATGTCTAAGTATTGTAGAGATAAAACCTAAACAATTAAAGCTTCAATTTAATTTTAAGTTACTGCAAATATTATTTCCTTTAGTTGAATAAAGAAGATGTTTGCTATTAAAGCATTAAGGGAAACCTTGCTATCTGAGGATCACATTTAGACACAGGAAAATTCTGTAGACCAGAAAAGTCTGCTTACCTTCACACAGAACTGCAGAAAGCAGGAAAACTGCCAAGAGAGCAACAGCCAGCTTGGAAGTCATGTTGATGCAAGGTGCCTTCGGTCTGGTTTCTTTCTGGCTCTTGTCCCAGAGGCTTGTGAGCTCTGCTGTCCCAAGGGGCTTCTATTGGTTGGAGAGCTTCTGTGGCTTTTTATATTATTCAGAGCAGCAGAGAATATGCACTCTCATTCTTGCATTATGTCAGAGGAAATTCCACAATATGCAACCATCCGCTTGCCCTTTGAGAGCAGACCTGAGTCATCAGACTCTAATTTGTCTCATCAAATTTTTTGGCAGGATTGAAGTTCTATTGGATCTTTAACAGAATTTATTTTATTTAAAAACATATTTGTTTTAAAGCACATTTAAAAATCATTGTTAAATATTCAAGCTTCTTTGATACATTATTATCAGTTGTAATTTTTTATGTATAAATAAATTTATTGTTTACTATTTGGCATTTGTTAAAGTAAGGTCATTTATGATTACTCTTTAAGGGCATGGTCATTTCTTTAGGTAACTTACATGTGCTTCAATGACAGAGAAGGTAATCTTGCCAACTACTTTTATTGAAGACATAATTTTGCGAAGTCCTTTTCTGAGCATTTTGGAAAGTTTCCAGGAACTATTACTGTTCCCAAGGAGCATATTACAACTCTTCAAAAGATTTGGCTTTCTAATGTATGTTTGAAAGAATGAAAAGACACATCTTTCAGTTCCAAAAATATTTATCAAGTAAATTCTGAGTCATGTGGGGATCTAAAGATAGATAAGATTAGATACATGTTTTCAAAGAGTTTGGTCCATCAGAAGAAGAAAGCGATATAAGGACTTCACTATATTACAGAACAGATAAGTGGTATTGATATGTTAATCCCAACAAGGGCATAAAGACAGAATATTCCATAAACAGTGTGAGCAGGATATTGAAGGAAGAGAAGGTAGAGAAAAACAGTACATTCTATATAAAGACATGGTTCAAGGACAGGTGAATGAAGATATGTCTGTGCTCTAGGAAGTGGTTCCCTGGGGTTACTTAGTTGGGGTGGGATGGGGTGGTAGCTAATTATACTTAGTGGATAAAGGCATCTAAGTTCAAACCCTGCTTCAGCCGCTTAATTTTTGTATGACTTTTAAACTTTCTGAGTTCAGTTTCTGTATCTACAAAATGGATTTAATAACACTCCCATCTCATAAAGTTAATATATGTAAACTTCCTGCTTAATTTTTAAATTGGTAAATTCCCACCTATTCCAAATGTTATGACTTATAGTTCTCATTTTTATCAGGTTATTAATTTCCATACTGCAAGGATATTCAACCAACAATTATTTCCTAAAAATATCATTTGCCTTAGAGGCATTCTTGATAAAAGATCAGTTTCTGAAATACCAGTTGAGCCAGCTTACAGCATGTAATGTAACAATATAATAAAATAGAAACATCATCGGTTCCAGTTATGGTTTGCTAAAATTAAAGCTCCAAATATATGACTGCATTAGCATCCGAGTTGCCCTTTCAAATGAAAATCTGGAATATGGAGAATCTTAAAATCTAGAGAATTCCAGAACTCTTGAGGAAGTAACTTGCTTAAACATTGATGTAAGATTTATTTTTTTTAAGATTTTATTATTTATTTGCTTATTTGACAGAGAGAGAGAGAGAGTGTGTGCACAAACAGGGGAGGCAGGAAGGGAGAAGCAGGCTCCCCACTGAGCAGGAACCTGCTGTGGGGCTCCCTTCCAGGACCCTGAAATCATGACCTGAGCCAAAGGCAGATGCTTAATGGACTGAGCCACTCAGGTGCCCTGATAGAAGATTTAAATTAAATTCTTTGACAAAAAATGACTGAAAATTAAAGAAATAGTAATAATGTTTCAGAATTTGAGCATTTGTGGTTTGGGGAAAAAAAAACTTCCCTTGCTGAAAGATTTGCTTGGTGACTTCAGCTTAACTGCTTAAATATCATTTCAATTTTCTTGATGTCAGTGACAAGTGTGCGTATTAATTGATCTTCACAGCAATGTCATAGTAATATTTCTTATTTTACAGATGAGGAAACTTAACAATGTCTCCAAGTTCATATACCTAAGTAGCAGTGTCAACGGTTCAAAAACTTGGTGTTAGCCCCGGTCGAAAAGCACATTCACAAAGGGGAGTTGAAAGAACTTTCCTCGAGTTCACTTAGATACAAACCATCTTTTTATGACTCAATGAAGTTTCTTACTTTATCCCTTGGTCTTCAGAGATTAGTCTGTTTTGTTTTGTTTTGTTTTTTCTTTTCCCGGATAAAAGGCACCAAGAGAAGGACTAAAACTCTGTCCACATCTGGGCAAGTACACAGTTCATAAATAATTCAGTTGATTCAACAATTTTCTTATTTCCCAGGAGGCTGGCTAAAGCAGTGAGCTTGTCCACATAAGTGTGTGGGGAAGGAAATGTCATGATTATTTTTGAAAGAGGTTATCCAATTTCTTAGTATAGGCATACATTGTTTCGTTTTGCTTTGCTTTTTTGCTCTTTACAGAGATTGTGTTTTTTATAAATGGTTTGTGGCAACACTTTGATGAGCAAGTCTATAGCTTGTCTAACAACTTTGCTCACTTTGCATCTCTGTGTCACATTTTGGTAATTCTTACAACATTTAAATGTTTTCATTATTATTATATTTACTATGGTGATCTATGATCTGTCATCTTTGATGTCACTACTGTAATTGTTTTGGAATGCCACAAACCACACTCATGGAAGATGACAAACTTAATCAATAAATGTATGTATTCTGACTGCTATACCCACCAGCTGTTCCCCACCTTTCTCTCTCTTCTCAGGCTTTCTGTTCTCTGAGACACGGCAATATTGAAATTAGGCTAATTAATAATACTACCATGGCCTCTAAATTTTCAAGTGAAAGGAAGGTTGCATGTCTTTCATTTTAAATTAAAAGCTAGAATGATTAAGATTAGTGAGGAAGACATGTCAAAAGCCAAGATAGGCCTAAAGCTAGGCCTTTTATGCTAAACAGTTAGCCAAGTTGTAAACACAAAGTAAAACTTCTTGAAGATATTTAGAAGTGCTACTTCTAAGTATGTATGGCTGATATGGAGAGAATTTGAGTGGTCTGGATGGAAGATCAAACCAGTTACATGATTCACTTAAGCCAAAGGATAATCCGAAGCAAGACCTTAACTCTCTTCCGTTCTGTGAAGGCTGAGAAAAGTGAGTAAACTTCAGAAGAAAAGTTTGAAGCTAGCAGTGGTTAGTTTGTGAAATTGGAGGAAAGAAATCATGTCCACAACATCAAAGTAAGTGCAAGAAGAAGCAGCCCGTGCTGTTGAGGAAGCAGTAGCAAGTGATCCAGAAGATCTAGCTAAGATCATTCATGAAGGTGGCTACACTAAGTAACAGATTTTCAGTGTAGACAAAAAGTCTTCTCTGGGAAGAGATGCCATCTAGGGCTTTCATAGCTAGAGAGGAAAAGCCATTGCCTGGCTTCAAAGCTTCAAAAACAGGCTGATTCTCTCACTAGGGGCAAAAGCAGCTGATGACCTTAAGTTGAAGACAATGCTTATTTACCATCTCAAAAAGCATAGGGTTTTTAAGAATTATGCAACATCTACTCTGCCTGTGGTCTGTGAATGGAAAAACAAAGCCTGGATGACAGCAGATCCGTTTCCAATGTGGTTACAGAATGTTTCAAGTTCACTATCTATACCGCTCAGGGAAAAAAAAAAAAAAATTCCTATCAAAAAAATTACTGCTCATTGACAATGAACCTGGTCCCCCAAAAATCTTTGATGGAGAAATACAATGAAATAAATGTTGTTTGCCTGCAAGCTTAACATAACACAGCATCGATTCTGCAGCCAAGGATTAATTTCAACTTTCAAGGCATATTACTCAGGAAATACATTTCATAAGGCTCTAGTTGCCATAGATAGTGATTCCTCTGATGGATCTGGGCAAAGTAAATTCAAAAAACTTTCTGGAAAGGATTTATCATTTTAGATGCCATGAACATTCATGATTAATGGGAAGAGGTCAAATATCAATAATCACAGACGTTCGGAAGAAGATGAATCCAACCATTATGGATGACTTGGAGGAGTTAAGACTTCGGTGGAGGCAGGAATGGTGGATGTAGTGGAAAGAGCAAGAGAAGGAGAATCAGAAGCGGAGTCTGAAGATGTGATTGAGTCCCTGCATTTCATTGATAAAATTTGAATGCATGAAGAGTTGTTTCTAATGCACAAGCAAAGAACATGGTTTCTTGAGATGGAATCCACTGCTGGTGAAGATGCTGTGGCAATTGTTGATATAACAACAGATGATTTAGAATGTTACATCAACTTAGCTGATAGCAGCATCAGTGTTTGAGAACGACTCCAGTGCTGAAAGAAGTTCAACTATGGGTAAAATGCTATCAAACAGCATTGCATGCTACAGAAACTGTTCATGAAAGAGGCAATCAATGTGGCAAACTTCATTACTGTCTTATTTAAAGAGACTGCTACAAACATCCCAGTCTTCAGCATCCACCACTCTGACCACTCCGCAGTTCAGCATCGAGTCAAGACCCTCCATCAACAAAAGTATTGTAATCACTGAAAGTTCTAATAATAGTTAGCATTTTTTAGCAATAAATTATTTTTAATTAAGGTATGTACATTTTTCTTTAGACATAATGCTATTACACACTGCTGCTAATATCTGAGCTACTTTCCTAATCCTGGTAGTAAAGTCTTAACTAGCACCTGGAATTTTTTCTCTCTTTGAGGAAACTGTTTCAGCTCAGCAGCCCTCAATTTTAGGAGAACCATGGACAAATGCTAAACATGTATCAGGGAATTACAATGTCATTAACATGAAATCATAAATATAAAATATCTACCCCCTGAAATTTTAGTTAGCGAAACTCAGAGTTAGCTCAGAGACGTAAAACACGGTTCCTACTTCTACAGATAACAAACATGTATATTTACTTCGTTAATAGCATAACTTCTTTGCTCTAATGTCTCAAGGACATTTTGGTTCCATTTCCAAGTTCAAATATCTCCAGTATACGATTTGCAAAAATGCCAAGTAAAGTTGCTGCTATAAAGTATTCTTTCTACCTTGAAAGAAAAGGCCTTTTCCAGTC